GTTCAATAGTAGATCAGGAAATTCTCGAAGGCCATGCAGCGACACTATTTCAGAAATGGGTTCTCTATCCAGGGCACTGTCACCTGCACCCTCCAAACAAGTATCACGCTGCCAAAGCTTTGCAGAACGGCCTCATGCCCAGCCACTACCCCTCCCTAGGGTGCAACTTTCTAACATTGGACGTACCGACTCTGGCATCAGTGCATCCTCAAAACCAGGATCTGACAGAGGGTCCAATCAATTGTTCTATTTGCCCCTTCCAAGACCTGAATGTGTCTCAAGCAGGGAAGATCCTACTGATGCTGAAGGAGACATAGCTACTGCTTCCATATCTTGTGATAGCTCTACTGATAGTGATGATCCGATTGACTCACGTCTGCTAAGTCCCATGGGATCTGACTATGAAAATGGAAACAGAACAACTTTGAACAGCCCTACCAGGTATGTTTTAATATATATCATTGAGAATGAAGATCTTATTTCAGGTTATGATGTTAGATAACTGTCATATTCACCTGTAAATGCTTCATCTGTGTGTGAGTGCATGCGTGTGTCCACCCCTGACAAATTTACTTCTATCTTTGCTGAAGTGTAATGCAAAAGGATCAATTCCCTACCGTCGACCAAAAGAACTCAAAAGAGACTGTGAAGCCGGATAATCTTCTGTTCAATACTCAGATTCTGTCTCCATCACCTAAACGGAGACCATCAAGCACGCATATGCAGAATATACAAATCCCTTACCATGGTGCTTTCTTTAGTGCTCCAGACAGCTCACTGTCAAGTCCTTCTAGGAGTCCTATGAGAGCATTTGGCTCTGAGCAAGTTAGGAACTCCAATTTCTGGGCAGGGAAGCCTTATCCAGAAATAGCTTCTGCTCACAGCTCTAGTCCAGGTTCAGGTCAAAATTCTGGGCATAATTCAGTCGGAGGGGATCTGTCAGGACAGTTGTTTTGGCAGCACAATAGGTGTAGCCCTGAATGTTCTCCAATACCTAGTCCTAGATTGACCAGTCCTGGCCCCAGCTCCAGAATACAAAGTGGTGCTGTTACCCCTCTGCATCCACGAGCTGGAGGGCTGGCTGCAGAGTCGCCTACAAACCGGCCTGACGATGGGAAGCAGAAAAGCCACCGGTTGCCCCTTCCTCCAATAACAATAACTAATACCTGTCCTTTTTCTCCCGCATATTCAGCTGCAACGACTCCCACGGTTCCACGTAGCCCTAATAGAGCAGAGAATCCAGCAAGTCCTGGTTCACGTTGGAAGAAGGGTCGCCTGCTTGGGAGGGGCACATTTGGACATGTATATCTTGGTTTTAACAGGTTTGTAGCCGAACGCAGCTCTGTTAATTGATTGCAAATTTTACAGTTGTATAATTTCTCAGTATGTATGATATTTAGCAGAGTGTAAGCTGCATGTGGCAGATTGAAATTTTCAAGTATCAGCATTTCAAAATTACAATTTTCCTGTGCTTACCGAATATTAAGCAGACAGTGTTTCTGAACTTAAAATTATGATTTGTTATAGTCCACTTTTGTTGTTGTTAGAAGTACTGCACAACTTCTTTGGAATTTTTGAATGTCTAGTTTGATTCAATTTTTGCTATTCAGTGAAAGCGGTGAGATGTGTGCAATGAAGGAGGTAACTCTGTTTGCAGATGATGCAAAATCAAAGGAAAGTGCACAGCAACTGGGGCAAGTAAGTTCTATTTGCTAGTCAGTGACTCTGTAGATCTGTTAGAAATTCCAGTGGTGCAAAGAATAGAATATTTCTTAGTAAATTTTCAATACAAGCTTTACATATTTTTTGTGTTCCTTTATTGAATGCACAATTCTTCTTTTATACAATTCACGTGGCATATACTTGTGCATTGTGTTTTGTAGGAAATTGCTTTGCTAAGTCGCTTACGGCATCCAAATATAGTACAGTATTATGGATCTGAGACAGTAAGTCCCTCTTATTACTGTGTAATATCTAAAAAGGTTTTGGTGCCTAGGTCAGTCAAGATTGGCTGTTTACACATTTGATAGTAACTATTCTTAAATAAGTGTGTTATTCCTGTTGTTGACATGTGGTGGTGTATGCCTGAGCAGGTAGATGACAAACTTTACATATACTTGGAGTATATGTCTGGTGGATCCATTTATAAACTGCTTCAAGAGTATGGTCAGTTTGGTGAAATAGCTATTCGTAGTTATACTCAACAAATCTTGTCAGGGCTTGCATACTTACATGCCAAAAACACTGTCCACCGGTCAGTCACATTATTATTGAAACTTTATTAATCTTATGGGCCATTTGTTGTAATCATTTAGGAATGTCAAGTTTGATTGTTTAGGAATGTCATTTGAACTAATGATAAGCTTATTATGTGCAGGGATATCAAAGGAGCAAATATATTAGTAGATCCCAATGGTCGGGTAAAATTGGCAGATTTTGGGATGGCTAAGCATGTAAGATCATTCATTTGCAAGTTTTTAGCGTAAATACCATTCAATCATTTCTTTTGATTGTCCAGTTAGCATGAAACCTCGATGCTGATAGGTAGCATTGTAAGAGATCCTATAAGCCAGTGTGTTATGAGAGTGAAAATATGCTTGTTAAGTACTCATTTTGTTGCAACACCATTTTCTACCTTTTGTTTTAGATATAGAACACGAGACAACGTTTTTTTAAAAAAAGGGCTAAATTGCTCCAAGTTGTTTAATGTTTTTTTTCCCTGTCAACCTTGAATCTGAGTGTTCTAATTAATCTTATCTGAATAATTGTAGATAACTGGGCAGTCTTGTCCATTGTCGTTCAAGGGAAGCCCATATTGGATGGCACCCGAGGTCAGGATGGTTCTTTTTTCCACTCTTGCATCACAATTTTTTTTCTGGCTTTGTGGTGACATTATTTACTCAACTGTTTAGGTTATCAAGAATTCGAATGGTTGTAATCTTGCGGTTGATGTATGGAGCCTTGGTTGCACTGTTCTTGAGATGGCCACGACGAAACCACCTTGGAGTCAATATGAAGGGGTTAGTAAAATTTGGATTCATAGACTAGAGTATTACAAAATAGTCTAATGCTATACATTTCTCATTGACAGTTCTTGCATGACAAAAATTCCTTGACCTGGTTCTTGTGTTTGTGCTTCAAAGGTTGCTGCTATGTTTAAGATTGGAAACAGTAAGGAACTTCCTGGAATTCCTGATCATCTGTCAGATGATGGGAAGGACTTTATTAGGCTGTGTTTGCAACGTAACCCACTGAATCGTCCTACAGCTGCTCAGCTTTTGGAGCATCCTTTTGTTAAAAATGTTGCTCCATTGGAAAGAACCATTTTGAGTGCAGAACCTTCCGAAGGACCTCCTGCAGTGAGATCTATGGTATAAAACCTAAACCAATCGCCCCAACAAATTTGATTTCTATGCCATTAAACTGCATATATGTGACTATTGCATTTACTATTTTTCAGATTTGTTGAATTTATGGCAACCAGATATTAAGTTTTCACTTTTTATACTAAGTATAGAATACCTCATGATAGGCATCTAAAAGACAAGGGCTTTAATATCATGAGAATTTTATGGCTTTATGTAATTGCTGTATTTGTATGTAACTAAAAAGATTCACAATGTTTCCCATCCCTTCATATTGTTCTTCTGTGATTGTACATCGTATAAATATAAACATGCTCTGCTGACACTGGACATGAAAAGGCTTTTCCGGATCTTAAAATCTACACAAAAATAACACGTTTTTTAATCTCCATATGTTGGATATGCTGTGGGAAACAGAAATTATGGTTCCGTGTATTCATGTGGACAACCAGCTATGCTATTTGGGGCCTAATATTTTATGTCAATTTATGCTGGCATATTTGGGGTAGAACATTAAAAAGTTTATCTTTTGTCTGCTTTATCAGTTGCAGCTTTCATTCTTTTCCTTTTTAAAATATTCTTTTAGGCCTTTGGACACGGGAGAAATCATTCTAACTTGGACTCAGAAGGAATGGGCATACATCAGTCCAGAGGCTCAAAAACTGCCTCGGCATCAAGGTATATCTTCCTTCTCCTCTCTCAGTTATATTTTTATTATGTGTAGATGAGTGGTTAAAATTGATGGCCAAATCATCATGTTATTATGAATACCTGGTTTTTATCTTGATGTTGCTTCCAACTCATTTACCCACAGAATAGCAGTTAAGCTTATTAAACACAGGAATTTTGTACTTTTGAATTAAAGAATGCTCAATATATGCTTAAACCCTTCATCTAAAGAAGGGCAATGACAATACCATCACACCCCATACAGAAGTAAATGTTAGGAAACTCGTTAGTTGATATTAATGCCACCTCGGGATATGAGGACTGATTTGTCTACTAGTTATTTCTCAATGTTCCATTAAAATTTTAACCTTTCCCTTTCCTTTCTGGTTTTCAGTGATGCCCATACACCAAGAAACGTATCGTGCCCTGTTTCTCCTATTGGAAGTCCGCTTCTACATTCTAGATCACCACAACATTTCAGCGGAAGGATGTCTCCCTCTCCCATATCTAGCCCTCGTACCACATCTGGCTCATCTACACCTCTCACTGGTGGCAGCGGTGCAATTCCTTCTCAACACTTGAAGCAGCCAACAACCTACTTACATGAAGGCATGGGGAAGAGCCATAGATCTCAGAACTGTAGTTTCTATACAAATGGCAGCATTCCATACCATGAGCCAAAGCCAGACCTATTTCGAGGGATTCCACAAGCCTCTCATGCTTTCTTGGATATAATTTCATCTGATAATGGTGCACTGGGAGACCAGATAGGGAATCCTGTTCCCAGGGACCCCCAGGAGTTATTTGATGTGCAGTCGATTTTGGCTGATTGCGTGTCTCAACAGCTCTTAAGGGATCATTTAAAGCTGAATCCTTCCATGGACCTTAATCTTCGCTAGTGGTTTATCAAAGCAGTTATATAGAATGGGTGCATGATCTCTGGCGTATTGGCATTGCTGAAAAGTCCATTTTGTACTGTAAGAATCAACAACTTGACAAATGATGCTTTTGGATCTTCTGATACCCTGATTGCCAGAAGAGAAACATGATATGAAAGGCCTCAATGCTCAGTCATGTTCCAGTGGTAAGCAGTACTTTGGCAGAAGAGGCTTCTTAAGCTATATTGTCCTATGGTAGTGGTTGAACCGTTGAAGTCTTCCCTTTGCGGGAGTCGAAGGCGGTCATTGGAGATCCAGCTTTTGTTAATTCCTTGTAAAGATAACGATTCTGCTGCTGTAAAAAAAGTGTACATTTTGTTGCTCCTTGGGGAAAAAGAAAAAGAAAAAAGGAAAAAGAGGCTCTCAGATGCCGTATTTGAACTCGACCATTTTTTGGTTATTTTGTTTTTCCGGGAGAAAAGAGGGTGGTTGAGATGGCACAAATTATTGTACAGTGGGGGTTGGGAATTAAATTGGAGTTGAGATTTTGTGAAGATTGTTGTTGAACCTGTATCAGTTTATGGCATTGGCACCTCAGTCCGGTTCTTAAGATGGGATGGGCTGTGCGGCCTTATACTGTTGCATCTGAATATACTTGCATCAAATAGAAGAAATCTAATTCCTCCTGTATCTCTCTCTTTAGATATCTTCTGCTGATGACCTAATTTATTGACTATTGATGAAGAATAAGCAAAAATTTCAGTAAGGTCCTTGGATATAATGTTTTTATAAAGATAGTTCAAATCGGGTATTTTTAGAAACCCCTTTAGAATGCCATAAGGACTCAAAACAATCCCTAGATTGAAGATCATAAATTACAAATATGGTACAAATGTGAAGTAGTTTGAGACCAGCATTTGATTATAGTTTGCAAGTTGGCAATTGATTTCATAACGAACAGTGCAGAAAACCCACAACATTAACCAGCAAGGATTAAAATGCCCTACTACTTGGCATCGGTCAAACTCAAGCTAAAATCCCAGAGCCTGGTAGCCAAATCTACATCTTTTGCCTGAGAGCTCGGTTTGGCAATGTTACAGTCTGAAAAGTATACGCCGCCTACTCCCTTAACTTGTGGATGGAGTGCTGCAAAGCATGTCGTTGCCGCTCCCTGCAGGACCATGTTTTTATAAATTAAAACGATTTGATCAAATTGTAGACCGCATCTCTGATAGAGTGAGATTCACAAACATGGTCCATGTAGCATTAGTATTTAGTACCAAAAAAAAAAAATTCATACGCTGCATATATTGTGAAAGGTGGAAGTACCTGTTGGATAGTTTTAGAGAAAAATATACCCAGCACACTGAAGATACCTGTGTGAAGCCAATCCAGTGAAAATGTGAGTTGTTAAGTGGAAAACCAGACAAATAATCAGTGCCATGAGCTTTTTTTATGAGCTGATATGAAAAGATGACCATAGTTTTCACTGAAGGGAACTTTCCTATTATAAAAATGACGCTGGTAAAGCACAGAAGATGAAGCATACATTGTAAAAAGCTATCATGGCGCGTAATATTCGTTCCTATTGCTCCAGGATGTAGAGAATTAGCTGTTATCTCTACCCCTTCTTCCTGTTCAGTTGAAATTTCAAACATAAGTTACCAAGCCAACCAAGAAATGCATATCAAATCTGAAAGTGTATATTAAAACGTTCAATACCTTGAGAAGCCTTGTAAGCTCATTGGCATGTAGGATGTTAGCAAGCTTGGATTGCGCATAATTGTAGTATCTGTTGTACCTGGAAAATAGCAAGCAAAAGGGGCAGATTTGTTGACATATTTACCCTAAACAGACACCTAACACATTAAATCAGTATACCTAAAGAAGATTTACCCTGATTCATCGTTGATTTTATCGAAACGAATTCCTTCACGGTAACCATATGGATGAAGTAGTGATGATACATTAACAATTCTCCCCTCTATGTTGCTTTCTCGTGATGTGCTTTTCATGGTCTCCAACAGAAGATTGGTGAGAAGAAAATGGCCTGCACATTGGATAGTATAAGTAACAAATGAATTGACAAAAGCAACTTGTGAAAAACTGATCTCTTTTCTGATAGTTTAGACTTCAAAACAATTGTTAGGTTTCAAACCTAAATGGTTGGTTGCAAACAGCAGCTCTATGCTGTCTTGAGAAAGCTTGAATGGAGATGCTCCTACCCCTGCATTGTTACTTCCAACAAACAAGAGAGTGTCTTACTTCTTATTGTCATAATATATATAATAATCAAGTGTGAATTATGGCTGTATGAGCTTTCAAATGCATGTCAGCTTGACAAAAATATGTTAGATCTAATTTTGTAGCAGCATGAGCTTTTGAGGTCCGGTGGATGTCTAACATGGTACAAGAACTCTGGTGTTAGATATGGTCAGTTCGAAACCGTCCCCTATCTCCACTTATCACTTATCGTGTAAACTTGCGGGGTGGGACAAGTTTGATTCTCCACTTTGGGCTCATCTGATATGCTGTGCTGCAGGGTACTGGACTGTACTGTATTGTGCAGAGCAATTATGACAACTTTAGCTTTGTATAACTTTGGAAAGTACAAACACGATCCAATCCAATCTAGGGCAATAAGGCCACGTTTGACAAAAGGGGTAAATTGAGGAAAATAATTAGAAACCAGAAGCATAGCCAGTAATAAAAATGCAAATTGCTGATCTCACATAAGAATGTTCAATGGAAGGCCGGAGGAGTTAAAATCTGCTGCAAATTTTCTTACAGATGCCAACAAGCTCAGGTCCAACTCCATGACATCAATCTTAGCGTTGGAGATTTCTTCAAGGATTGCTTCTTTGACTTTGGCCCCAGCATCCATGTTCCTTATTGCCATAACAACATGAACACCACGCAACGCAAGAACACGTGATGTCTCTGCACCGATACCACTTGAGGCTCCTGAAATTAAACAAAGTTTTTACACAGAAATGTTTGAAAACATTGCTTTGAGAAACACAGAGGAAGGCTCATTCACATGTAAACAATGGAGATGTCCAAATCCAAAGGCTAAAAAGCTACATCTCCATGTAATTCAGAAGAGCTTATGAAAGAAACCATCTTAATCTGATTTGCCCTCAGAGTAACATTTGATCATCCAAGAAACTAACAAGAGTTTTATCCCATGTTTACCTGGGAAGTTGCTCCAGTGACATACTAAATCATATTAAATCCTATAATTTATCACATAAACAAATAAAAAAAATAACAGAAATACCTGACAATACAGTAAGAGAAAATTTTATCACATATATGAAGCTTAAAATAGAGCTTGACCTGTAACAATGGCAGTCAGACCAGTTCCATCAATCCCTTCAGTAACTTCCTCTGCTGTAGAAGAGGGAGAAAACCCAGAAGGTCCTTTCCTGCTAAATATCCCCATTAATTCTGCAGATGATAATGAACTTGCAAGTTACAAAACAAAGAAAATGCTACCAAAACTAGCGAAAATAATTTATTTATTTATTTAATATATATATATTTTTTCTTCCTAGGGTCAAAACATTGTAGTCCTTTTCTTAAAATATTGGCAACGAGAGTAACAGCCAATGTCAAGACAAGGCTATGCTAGAGGTGCCCCATTGATGATAGATACCAAGTTGACAACTGTTTGCTTGCTGTTGGCCCATGTATCTCCCCTACGTGGCAATTTTGTTTGGGATTGTAATCAGCAATGTCGTTTTTGATGCGGCTCTCATACTAGAATGCAATATGTTGGCTATTTTTGATTGTCCATGAGCAAATATATGTTCAAATTTGCAGCTCTATCGAGTCCAAGTCAGTTCTTACGAGTCTCGCCCCTCTAGATGGAATTTGTGAGACACAATATGTTAAACTGTTGTCCAAATAATAAGTCGAGTCCCTGCTTTTAAGCTATAGGGAATTTGACAACATTTTAATAAATAGATCGTGTTAAACATCTTAAACCATAAACCACATATTGCTTCTTGACCATGTTGAAAGCTGTTTACTTTGTAGTTCCATTAATGTTGTCTATGTGCTCCAGTTTCTAGACTGGTCTTAAGTTACAAATAAGGAACAAATGGGAACTTTTTATAGTCTGAGTTCAGCATTTGGTTACAGTTTGAGATTTGGAGGTTTGATTTCATAACGAACAGTGCAACCAGCAAATGTTAAAACATCCTACTTCTTGGGATTGGTCAAACTCAAGCTACAATCCCAGAGTCTCCTAGCCATATCCGCATCTTTTGCCTGAGAGCTCCGTTTAGCAATCTTACAGTCCGAAAAGTATTCGCCGCCTACTCCCTTAACTTGTGGATTGAGTGCCACAAAGCATGTGGTTGCCGCACCCTGCATGACCATTTTCATTGAGATAGTTCAAGGGCAGCTGCTATACAATGTGAATATATAGTACAAACACAAGATTCTCTATCTAGAAAATCAAATAAAATCATATGATTTAATATGTTGTGGAACGTCAAGAAGTACCTGCTCAACAGTTTTAGAGATAAACAAACACACCACAGTAAAAACACCTGTCAGGCCAATGAAAAAAGTGAGTTTATCAGTGAAAAATCAGACAAATACTCAGCGTCAAGAACTTTGATTATGAGCTAATATGAAAAGTGATGCATTTAGTCTTGACTGCAGGGGATTTTACAGTAGAAATAATTTTCACTGGTAAAGTAGAGAAGATGAAGCTTACACCGTAGGAAGCTATCATGGCGGGTAATATTCGTGAGAATTGCTCCGGGATGAACAGAATTAGCCGTTATCTCTACCCCTTCTTCCTGTTTAGTTGATGTTTCAAAAATAAGTTACCAAGTCAACCAAGAAGATATGGATACATGCAATATATTTCCATAGAAATTAGGCATAAATGATGGGATGTCCTTAAAATGTTCAATACCTTCAGACACCGGGAAAGCTCATTAGCATGTAGGATGTTAGCAAGTTTGGATTGTGCATAAGCACAATGCCTGTTGTATCTGTATATTAGCAAGTAAAAGGGTCAGATTGTTGACAAATATTTATCCAAACAGACATCTCAAAATGTTAAAAACAGGTATGAACATATATAATCTGCATATCCTGCAGAAGATTTACGTGGGTTCATCATTAAGTTTATCAAAACGAATTCCTTCACGGTATCCGTAATGATGGCTCAGTGATGATACGTTCACGATTCTCCCCTCTGTGTTGCTTTCTCGCGATGTGCTTTTCATGGTCTCCAACAAAAGATTTGTGAGAAGAAAATGACCTGCACATTTTATGGTTCAAGAAACAAATAGATGGGTAAAAGAAACTTGTATGAAACTGATCAGTGGGCAGGCTACAGTTCAAAGCAATTTCTAGGTAACAAACCTAAATGATTCGTTGCGAACTGGAGTTCTATACGGTCTTGAGAAAGTTTGAACGGTGTCACTCCTATCCCTGCATTGTTACTTCCAATAAAGAAGAGATTGTATTACTTCTTATTGCCATAGTATGAAATAAAGACGTATTAGCTTCATATAATAAAGTAAATATGTAACAAACCACACACAACAAACAGAAGGAAACTGGCATTTGCTTATCTTACATAAGGATGTTCAATGGAAGGCCTGAGGAACGATAATCTGCTGCAAATTTTCTTACAGATGTGAATGAGCTGAGGTCTAACTCCCTGACATCAATTCTAGCATTGGGAATTTCTTTAAGGATTACTTCTTTGACATTCGCCCCAGCATCGGTGTTCCTTACTGCCATAACTACATGGACACCGCGCAATGCAAGAACACGCGCTGTCTCTACACCAATACCACTGGAGGCTCCTGAAATTGAACAACCTTACCTTGAGAAACACACAGAGGAAGGCTCATTGACATGAAAATTAAGAAACAAAACTGAAGGGTCTTGCTATACTTGCTGTACATATATGAGAAATAATAGACATCTTATATCATTGAAGAGAACTTATAGAAGAAGCCATCTTAGTTTCATGCATGTTTTCTTGGTCAACAGCTTAATTTCATTTAGATTTGGAATGATAAATGATCATCCAAGAAACTAAGAAAAGTACTTGAATATAAAATTAAAAATACAAAACCCATTGGAACTCAGTATGTATATATCAAAGAATTACTAAAAGCTAGTCCAGATCACTGATCTTCATCATTTTTCCATTTTTACATGGGAAAATCCTTTATCATATTTTTATAAAAAAAAATATTTCATATATGAAGCTTAAAAAATAGAGCATGATGACCTGTAACAATTGCAGTAAGACCAGTTCCATCAATCCCTTCAGTAACTTCCTCTGCTGTTGAAGAGGCAGAGAACCCAGATTGTTGTTTCTTGATAAAAATCCCCATGAAAGTTGCAGATGATAATGTGAAGTTACAAAGAAGGCTAACAAAAGCAACATAACATAGGATTTCTCTGATTAAAATATAGGCAATGTGAGGAAAAGGCCATGCTTGGGGTGCCCCAGCAATGATGCATTATAGATACCAATTGACTTGAGGGATCAGATGACCAAAACATGAAAGACTTTTGGGATTATAGTAAGTAATGACGTTTCTGATGTTAATATTATATACAACGATGTCGTTTGGAACACATTGTTGTTGACCAAATGCCAAATCAGAAGTTTTGTCAACAGGTTGTTTTGGTAACAATAATACTAGACTCACTTGTTCGATAATACTACTTCTATAGTGGTTAAATTTGACAACAAATAAAGTCAAAAATTTAGACCAACTTTTCTTTTGCCCCAGAAGATTTTTTTAAAAATAAAAAATAAAAAAAATGGTAGAGCCGCGCGGCTATAATTGGGTTTTTCGTAATTTAAAAAAAGTATCGCCACCCGGCTTTACTTGTTTACACGTGGCGCTTAGGTGCTAGGCCGGTCTTTTTTTAATATATATAAATAGTATAGCCGAACGGCTATACTCGTTTTTAAGCTCTGCTTATTTCACACGTGGCGTGTCCTTTTTTGTTTTTTAAAATAGTATAGCCGAGCGGCGATACCGGATTTTCCTTATTTTTTTAAAAATCGTATAGCCGTCCGGCTATACTCGTTTCCCCTAATTGTTTTAAAACATAGTATAGCCGAACAGCCATACTCGTTTGACACATGGCGCCTAGGCGCTAGGTGGGCCTTTTTTTTTTAATATATATAAATAGTATACCTGAACAGCTATACTTAATTTTTTCCTAATATAGCCGCCCGGCTATACGCTTTTTTTTTTTAATAATAGTATACACTTTATATTTTTTTCCCCCATTTTAGTTTATCGATCAGAGTAGTTTTGAGGTGCCAAGGAGTCCCTTTCTCTAAAACCCTTCCCTTTCTCTGAACCTCCGTAGTTGAGGTGCCAGGGAGTGGCAAGCATCATAGTTGAACCTCTTCCCTTTCTTCTCTGAACCTCCATTGTTAGAGCGACTCCACCGAGGCCACTGAGCCTCGGGCTGGGGGAAAAAAAACGAAAAAGTCGTTTCCAGCGGACAGCCCAACCTCGGGCAAGACATGGGGCCTACCAAGTCGGGTTGGCCCGAAGGCTAGTTCAGCTCGAGGTCCAAAACGCGGGCCCTGACGTCATGCGTGCTACAGTGACGCTACAGTCCCTGGTGCTACAGTACTGCTACAGTGCCATGCACTACAGTGCCGCTAAAGTCCAAGTGTCGCGCTTTGAGCTCTCCGATCAGATTTTTTTTCTCCAATTCAATGGCAGCCAATTTTTGTGCAATAAAAAAATGAAAAAAAATCAATTTTTTTTTTAAATACCAAAAAATTACTGTTTTTTTTTTTTTTTTTAATAAATACCAAAATTTTATCCGATTGAGATATGAATTTTATAATAAATATTGACACGTACGAACCCAAAAATCTTGTCCGAAAATATTATCCAAATTAATTGTTTAGGTAAACAAATTTGTGAAAAAAACAAAAAAAATGAATAGTAATTGCCCTTAGCCATTGCAACAGGTGGAAATACAAAATGCTATTTGCAAGGGCAACTACTATTCACGTGAATAGTGGCTGCCCTAGCTCCCCCCTTACCATGGCAAGGGGCAAACGGGTGGAGTTGCTCTTATGCCGAAACTAAATAACAAAATCCAACCAAGCATGAAAGGGCTGCTTCGTTCACTAATGAATTCTCAATCTGCAAGAATAAGCGAATTCCCAGCATTACAGATAACAAACCTGTGCGTGATTGTAATTCAACTAACTGATTGATACAAACAAGATAATGAAAACCTAGGGAAATTCGACTTCTCCGGTTCTTTTCTTCGGGCTTGCCCAACGGGGCATATGAATTTGTAAATTCCATGAAAGCCCAAACAAACCCTCAATATAAATTTGAGAACCCATAAAATTACTTTACCACCAAGAAACCACACTATAAGCATCTGACTGACAGAAACCAACCCAACAAGGAAACGCAACGCAAGTTTCCTAATTGAAAAGGGTAACAAAATGTACTTATAAATAATACCCACACATCTTGCTCTTATTGGCAATTTCATTCCAAGCATTGAAGCCCGTTTCTCCCCCAACCCAACACTAGAATTCATCAATTGATTGTTTTGTAGTTTGATTTATTTTCTTCTCTTAATTTCAACATTAACAATGGAGGAAGAAGCTAGTACCAGTGCAAACCATTGCCCACTACCAGGCCAAGTTTCCACTGCTCTCACTTTGTGTGATCCAACTTGGAATTACAACACAAACCAGAGAAAAGCAGAGGAATTAGACCCTGCTCCTCTCAAATTTTCTGCATTCCCTCCTATTCCAAAACACAAGAAAATATCGAGTACGAATCATATGAACAAGGAATTAAAGAAAAAGAAAAGAAACCAAGTTGTGCCGGAAACTACGCTGAGTCCACAGCCTCAGGATCAGGGGCCTTGGAAACTGCAGGAAGAAGCTGGCTGTAAGCGACCTTAGAAACTGCTCAAGGCTACTGATGCCAAAAAAATCGGTCATCGAACATGTTCTGCAGTACTTGGATGACAAGTTTGCCAAAAGGGTTATGAGTGGAGAGGGCATAGGAGTTATAGTTGAAGGCAAAATGGGTAAATCTCAACGTTATTATAATCCAGCATGTGATTACAGTTTGCAGTTTGACAATTTGATTTCAGTGCAGAAAAAAGCCAGCTACAACATGACCCAGAAAATATTAGAACACCATACTACTTGGCATTTGTCAAACTCAAACTAAAATCCCATAGTCTGGTTGCCAAATCTGCGTCTTTTGCCTGAGAGCTCGGTTTGGCGATGTTACAGTCCACGAAGTATTTGCCGCCTACTCCCTTAAGCTGTGGATGGAGTGCCACAAAGCATGTGGTTGCCGCACCCTGCATGACCATGTTCAATGACATAATTAGTTTCATATAATATGAATGCCCAAAAAAGATTTTGTATCAAACGAAAGAGAAATATCATCTCTTGTGGAACATAAAGATGTACCTGCTGA